TCAGTTCCCAACAAACAAGGAACTGCAAGGGACCTCGAAATTAACACAATTCCCGAGGCCGACACTCCCCCGATAGATATTTTAGCGTCCACCTGGCCCACAATGCCCATGCTACCCCCGTTCGCAGCGACGCAGGAATCGTAAACCGGATGCACGGCCTCTGGTGGGATGCCCAACAGATGGAAAATTACATCCGATATAATGGTCGCGGACGCTCCGGAATCCACTAAAATACGCACGTCCACCCCTTGTATAGAACCAGGTACAGTGGACGAACCAGTAGCGGCCGCGACGACCCGCCATGCCAATTTACGCCACTGCGTTACCGAGCGACATGGCCCAGTCGATGGCCTCCCGTTATTAACAACACCCGGATCGCACAACAACGGTGATGAGTGAGGTGTCAAGCCTTGCCGGGTGTCTGGTGCGCACCGACTTGCCTGTCCTGGAGGATCCTTCCGCGGCGCGTCCGCTGTCAATGCCTCCTGCTGGGGCGGACCTGGGACACGGGCCCAGCAGTCCCTGGCGTAATGGCCCTTACGACCGCAGCGGAAGCAGTCGATGTCGTTGCGCCGCGCCGCAGGCCCCCCGTCCCGACGCTCCCGTGTCGGCGGCGCAGATCGCGGACCCGGCCTACTGCGGCCAGACCACCGAGCAGAGGCGGCTGTCAGCTCCTTCGGGTCCCCCCCGTCAGGAACGTACACCGCCTTCTTGGGGTCCCAACCCGCGGCACCTCCTTCGACGATGGGCCCCCCCGTCCACGCCGTGACTTGCTTCCAACGGCGCAGGTTGAACTGGGCATCCAGACATTTAGCGGCCGCCCGGGATGTCAGCTTTTCGTGGCCACACACCGGCATAGGAATCCCCAAATCCCGGGACAGCTCGAGCATCTTACCCAAAATGAGAGATTCGAGCAGGTCAGGCTCCGTCTCCGGGTATGCGGCCATGGCCAACTCCAATACCGCATCCCTGTATGCCACCGGCGACTCCTCGGGTGCTCGCTGGCGTTGAACAAACCGGCGATGAGCATCATCCGGTGGCTCGTATGCGTCTGCCATCTCGTCGAAAACTCCTCTCAATGTTTTCTTCTTCTCGGCCTTCATAGAACGGAAGAATCTCACCGACTCGTCGTCGAGAAGAGTCGGTAGAACCTCCAATGCCTCAGCGTCAGTCCACCCTGCAGAGCGTACCGCCGCCAAAAATCTGCAGGCGAAAGCACTCCAATCGCCACCGATGGAGAATTCTTTAACGGTTGTGAGATGACGACTGCGACTCCTTGTTGCGCCGTCCTCAGCCGATGACTCATCAGGCGGCATATTCAAAATGGCGTCGCATCGCAACGTGTTCAAGATGGCGGCCTCCCGCCGCGGAGAGCGCAAGATGGCGGCTTCCCGCCGTTCTTCTCCAGCCATGCCCAAGATGGCGTCTTCGTGCTGCGTGACCGATGGCGCCGACAGCGCAGGCAAGGCGGCGGCCTGCGGACCACCATCGGCTCTCCCCAACGCCGTCCTCGGCGTGACGAGCTCACACAATTGCGCCAGCACGATTTTCAGTGTCTCCAGCTGCGCCGCCATCTGTCTCCATCGCAAGTCCGCGTCCTACGGTGCAGACGGGTCCACCGACGCGGCGACATCTTGGACTCCCGTACCCGTACTCGTTCCAGCACGGATCTCCTCCTCCATCGCAGGCAGGTCCACCGCCTGAGGAAGGTCGTCGTCGTCGGATGATGTAGCAGATGATGGCGCAGGAATATTCTTTCTTCTGAGTTGTTTTGACATGCCGTTTCACTTCTGACACCAGTGTAATAAAGGACTCGTTCACTGTGTCTGTCTCCATTGTCCTTTATTCGGGTACTTTACAACTTGTCCCACATGGCCCTCGCTCAGAGACTCCCCGCTTGGCAGCTCGATGCTGCCGTCGCTCCCGTAGCCTCTCTCTGCTCCGATGCAGCTCCGCTGCTGGTTCCCTCGGGCAGGCCTCCGGCTGCCCTCACTGCAGCCCCACCGCTGCTCCCCGTTCCTCCGTGCTCGGTCACCGCTGGCCGACGGTGCCGAGTCTTACTGTGTGTGTGGCGATCTCGCCACTCTCCAACCTCCGCCCTGCGTGGCCTCACTCTATCTCTATCTCCAACTCTCTCTCATCTCTTCCGGTATCTCTCCCTTAAGACCTCATCCCTCTCTCTCACGTGACCTCACTCCTCCCCCTGTGACGTCATATCCGCGAGGCCGTTTACGCCCGCATTACACATGCACAAACTGTCGCTGACAGATTACACCTCCAATTTTCACCTCGGCACGGCTGGCTACATACCGTGCGAAAGAAGTTCAACATACATTCAAACGACAGCATCCGTCCTTTCTCGTATCCATCCCCTCTCAGCCGATGCCTCCACCTACCCTGTACATGGAAAATGTTGTGTCGGGTATAAAAAATGTGCCGTATCATAGAATGCAATAGTTATTTAGTTGATGTTTTTCTTCCATGCACCAAGGTTGCATTTGGTGTTGACAAATGTGCAGGAATTGATTTATTATGCAAATTTTATTTCTATACTTTTTTTTTACATTGCGACTTTTGTATTGTTTGTGGATATATATTTCACACTCCTCAACCCCTACTGGACATCTGTGACAAAGAGCTTCATAGCTTATCACATTCCTCCTCCAGATTCAGATTCTGAATTGCACCAACCTGAAAGTTACCCGAAATGGGATAAACTACGTAGAAATCTAAAGCTGAACACCAAATGTCCTTCTTAAGTTCAATCATTAGGCTTTCACAACCAATATTATCCACAATAAAGTATTTTTTGGGGTTAGCATCAATATGAATTTCGTTAACCTGCTACTATATGGCACAATACGGTTTGTTGCGTCAACAAAACGTACCAATCAGTTACAACTTCACAAATAGCACTAATCGCATTCCTGCATTTCCCATAAATATGCTAAATTCATCTTGATATGCAGATTATTTTGTCAATGCGCATTTCCCCCCCCCTTCCAAACCAGCTTAAATAGACGCTCCAAGCGTGGTGGTGTTTTCTTTTAGACGCTGTCGCCTCGACAGACCTGGTCTTCACCTGAGGACGGCTGCTTGTGTTGTGGCCGAAACGTCGTGAGAATTATTTTATTATGTTTTATTTTTATTATTTTATTACTTCCCTTCTACGTGACTTTACCGAAAGAACCAAGAAGAGAAAAAAGACCTTATTATTATAATTTTTTTATTAACAACTTTCGGAAATAGCCATTGCTGAATGGTCCACCTCTGAGGCAGGTTTGGTGACTCATTTTGGAAGGATATAAAAAAAAAACTAAGATGTAAAAAAAATATATATAAAGGGTACAATGTTTGTGTTAAAAAGCAGAAGTTTCATCACGTGTGTCAAAATGAAACTCAAAACATGAATGTCAAATATCTGCTCTTGTAATTTATATATTATTTTCCTGCTGTAAAAGACGCGTTTTATGGCAACAATGCTAATTTACATTTGTAGAGTGGCGAGTTTCATTCGTGGATCCCACCATGTAGCACGTGGATGGAAAGCTGTAAAAAGACAGAATCTGCAGGGTATAGGGCAGGACTAGGCGGGAAGTAAAGTGTGGTTTGCATACTCAGCCACCCACTCACCTACTCGCTCACCCATTCACCCACCCCACTCACCCCACCCCCACTCACCCGACGCACTCAACCCCACCACTCACCCGCACTCACTCACCCACTCATAATCAGAGTAAACGGCCAGTACTAGGGGGTAAAGTCGAAGTGAAGGCCAGTTCAAAAAGGGGAGTTTGCAAGACAAAACTGAAACAGCTCTAACGACTCTGTCTGATTATTAACGGCAAAGCGTGATTCGAGAGTATGGGAGCTGCACAGTGAAGCACCAGCCATATCACTCATCCACTCACCCACTCAATCATTCACCCACCCACCCGCACATCCACCCACTCACTCGTCCACCCACGCGCTCTTTCATGCACCCGCTCGTCCACCCAACCACTCACCAACTCATCCTCCCACTCACCCACTCACCCCACCTACTCAGCCACACACACCACTCACTCACTCAATCACTCAAACACCCACCTGCTCATCCACCCACCAAATCCACCCACTAATTTACCCACCAACTCATCCACCCACCCACTAACTCACCCCAACCACTCAGCCCACCCACTCACCCTACTCACTCACCCCACTCCATCCACTCACCCCAAACCCAACTCACCCCACTTGCTCACCTCACTCACCCATCCACTCCATCCACTCATTCGCCAACTCACTCACTTCCCCAATCATAACCAGGGTACACGGCCAGTACTCAAAGCTGGTGTTTGTGCACCTCAAGTTCAAGTTCATTTATTAGGTATAGCCCTGTGAGCCATTCGGCTCTTGAATCGGGTGCAACCGCAACAAACAAAAAACAAAAACATGAACAAAAAACATTTTAAAGTGAATATGTGACTGAGTGCAAACAGAAAATCCAAAAAAAGACAGCAAAATATTGCAGAAAAAGCACCGTACACCAACACTGTGTGCAAAAATCCCAGTGGGATGCAAGTCAAACAACAACAACCACAAGACAACTTAGATTAAGGCCATCCGTCTAACTCTGTATTACAACAAACAAACATGGCCAAACCAAAAAACTTTCTAAAATCACCAAAATAAAGCCATAAAAGCAATAAAACAGTGGTCATAGGAACTGTGACCGAATTTTCACAATAAACGACGTAAACAACATGTACTACCAAACTCTGCAGCCATAGCTGGCTGCATGAGTCACTCCACAACAGTAGGAGCATCAGTCGCAGTATCAACATTTTTCAATGCACCTTTAAGATCAGCACACTAAATAAAAACACAAATCACCTAGGGCACGGGTTCACATTCCAGGGAGTGTCTCGTGATGTCATTGACAATTAAAGCATTGTTTCCTTCTTCACAGCCGCTATAAGAGAGGTCCTGGTCCAGTGTCTCTCTGAGCCACACAGCGAGTGATCTGAGTGAAGCCATGGGTCATGGCGAGCGGGATTCCCAGTGAGAGTGTGGTTAGTGAGCTGTGCTGCCCTTTCTGCCTGGACACGTTCGTCTGCCCCTCCACTCTGAGCTGCGGACATTCATTCTGCGTTCAGTGTCTTCCCTGTGCGACCCCAGCTGGGGAGGAACGTGGCCCTCGCCAACCTGGTGGAGCAGCTCAAAGTTGGAGAAAGGATGGCCGCGACCGTCGTGTGTGACATTTGCGGTGATGGCCACACTCCTGCAGTGAAGACCTGCATGAGATGTGAGATATCCTACTGTTTGTCCCACTTCAGGCCACACGTGGAGAATTCCAGATTGAGAGACCACGCCGTAGTAGATCTCACTGCAAGTTTGGAGCAGCGAGGGTGCCGGGAGCACAGGCAGGAGCTCAAGTTCTACTGTGAACAGGATGAGAGCCTGGTCTGCATAGTTTGCCTCAATGCAGGAGACCACATTGAACACAGAGTCGTCGCAGTGGAAACAGCTCAACGGACAAAACAGGTAAAGTTGCATTTTCTGTTGTAGTCCATATTGTTAGAGGTTTAGAGATTAGCATAAGTGCATTGTGACCTTCACTTCGAACAGGGGAGATCCTATTGAGACCAAACGTCTCTGTACAGGGAGAACTAGGTAGAGGTGGCAGGGTGGTTCAAACGTCAGAACGCTGAGATGGTAAAGCTCAAATCCGGAGTTGGAATCTCGTCGGCCTTCCATGGTAAAAATTGGTCGTGCATAAAAAATTCTGGTACTGACAAAAGTTGGTAAGATAGATAAATACATAAAAAACATTTGGAAAGTATTACCCTCTAGTACATATATTATGGCTGATTGTTTCAGTCAAATATGAATGCCATTGTTGAGCTATTTCAAATTGGATATATCATGTGGCACAGGCCATATGAAAACAATTCATGGTCCACAGTGCCAAATAGATTATGTACACTATTATTTTATGGGGGCTTGGGCCCAGTGGGCTATGTAGTTCAGTGGATGACGTACGCCTAGAACCCCTCGTAGTAGTGTCACACCATCTTGCCGATGGCCTGTATTATAGTAAGTTTGAATCATTTTTAAGTGGTAAAGGTGCAGCCCTGGAATTTCTCCTAAACGTCACTGCAAGTGGAAATTCCTCCACAAAGCAGATATCTAGAAGCCCATTTAGAGAAAAATGTGGTCTTCTCTTTTACATTGATCAGACATTGGAAGAGGTGTGAGTACACACACTACCACATAGTGGTCAACCTGCTGATTAACTGTGGTGTATTTGAAAGGGTGGGCATAAATGGGGAAATTTAATAAACGTGCCCATTGTTTCAGTGGCCACACCAGGAATTAAAACCAGCGATCTCTGGACTTTAGTGTGCTGAACATTTGTACCATTCTTCAATGTAAAAGCCTCAGCCCTGCACTCCCTTCCTCACAATTCTGCTTTCAAAAGAGCCTTCACTCGGAAGAGCTCCAGAGATTGCCTCGAGAGGGTTTACCCATTTATACCGCTGATGGATAAAGGCGGTGATAATTAATATACGTGCTCACTCAGTTGGGTGCCACAATAGGCATTGACCTCGAAATTGCATTCCCAGTGGGCTAAGTATTACACTCCACATTGCTGGATTTAAGACAAGTAAAATAATGGAAACTTAATTAATGAAGTGTGTGATAACTCGCAGGTGACACAGCAAATGCATGGCTTAATAAATAACTTGTGTGATGTGGAGGATAACCAACAAGAGGCACTCTCAATGCGGCTCCAAAATAAACAAAACTCCAGACATTTAAAAACAAATTCAAGTGTCCTTTGCTGGAGAGGCAGGCAACAAAACCCCATGCATTTTCTGGTGTCTCCATGGTAAGTTGTGGTAGAAAAAATATACGTGTCAATTGTGTACACCACCTCTCATTGGCCTAGGTTGCTTTTAAGTCAGCTCTGCCTTTAATTTATATTGAATGTGGTGTGGTCAACTTCAACACTAAATTCGGGAATAATGTGGACCTACTGTGTGCTGTTCTAATCACACCACTCCGTGGAGTTTAGTTCAGCCTGATCCATTCCAAAGCGATCAGTTGTGTAAATTAGTTACATTCAACCCAAGTTTTTTATTCGTGAGTATTTCTGCAATCAGTTGCCAGGATAATTCAGGCTCTATCGTAAATCAAATTTCTCAGTGACTTACAGTGAATGTATTTAACGACATGCACATTTTGGAACGTTTCTTGTTACCAAACTGAATACAGTGTTTAATTGAATGTTGTAAAGAACCGGTAATTTGTGGGCAGAGACAATCCCCATGTCTCTTGCATTGCCTCAGCCACGATCTTTTACATAGCTGTGCTGCAAAAGTCAATTTCATAGATTAAACAATTACAGATGAGACAACTGTAACAGCCAGTTCTTCATTATTAACTTATCGAGCCATTGTTTAAAAAAAATGGCAGTACCAAAGAGTCAGTCAGATTCCGATTGTGACTTGGTTACGCAATTGATAACTTCGTTGTGGATCTGGTTTCATGGTCTCAGGTTTCATATCAACACTTCACCTCCACACCATTGATCTGAGGGGAAAGGGTACATGGTTGTCTTTGCATTGCTACAATACCCGTAAAATGAATAGTAAACATTATTTTCAAGATAAAAAAATCATAAAGCATTGAGACATGGGAATTGAGTTGTAACTTTAGTCTCAATGACTTTAAAACTTAATTTTATATCCACTGTATGGGTGATGGACTAATTGAATTCAGAATATTTAAAATATTGATATTCACATTGAGAATTAAGCAGTTGGATGCAACCTTGACAGCCTGAAGAATAGTAAATCAATGTTTAGTTGTATCTAACTTCCGTTTGTCGTTGTCTTCCCAGACATCAAAAGCGATTCCAATTGAACAAGTTGCAGGTTTGTGGGACTTTTTTACAATTTCAAACAGATATTTTAAAGTATTTATCCATTTGCTCTGTTTGCTTGTCTGTAAGAGAGGCAGGGTGCAAGAAGGCATCATAACTCTTAGTTTAACATGGTGGCGGGTTTAATGACACATTTATATATCTACGTGATCTAATCATAAAACTTGTATTATTATGGCTCATAACTCTTGTAAAGATGATCCACTATGAATACAATTTTAATTTACAATTGTGATGCTTGCAGGTCTTATGCTATAGTAAATCATAAAAATGTTTGAAAGGGTTGGGCAACAACCACCATGTAAATCAGGTTATTATAAGTGGCTGTGGTGTTACAATTTGGTCACCACCGACCAGTACATAATTTTTTTTCCACATCTATGCTCCGAGCAATCATGAAACCGCACAAACCAACAATACGGATTCGTCAGATCATGATGAATTGTAATATTGCCTGCGAAAACGTGTGTAGTCAAAGACAACCTATAACAATGAGTCCTTTATGTGACCTTACCCAAACTTCAATTATGAATATTACTGGCTGAAACAAACCGGTGTGTTAAGTTAGTCTGTGGAAGGCTATTCAGGAAATGTCTGTGTGCTTCCAACTGGATGTTATATGCACACAAATAATCCAAAATGTTCATTGAGCCCTGTTTGCACGTGAACGTGTGTAGGGCTGTGTGTAGCAGAGGAGCCACGGGTGACCGCGGCCCGGCCAAGGATCATTTACAAAGAACAGTGCAAGACCAAGCTGCAGTCATCAACTGAGCACAGTGCTAATAGCACATCGGTAATACCTGCACACGAAAGAATCACAATTGCCTTATCTGTGTACATGTGAGTGTATATATAATGTTCGGGTATTGCTACCCTGCTATACCCGCAGAACTTAAGCATTTATTTACAGTGAATGCAAAATAACTTCATTTGAAATAACCTGAGCGATCAGAGCCGCAAAAGCAACAAACATCAAACACCAGAGGCATCCTCTGTTCTTTCCTTTGAGAATATGTCTAATAATAGTGCAAACAAAGCTCAAAATCGATCCTACGTGAAATTCGCCCTTGATTGAAACTTATTCTTCCTCTGGGTGTTATTACATGTGTTGGACAAGCCTCGATTATAGTTCCAGTAATAGATATTGCCTCATGCACCGCCATTATTACTTAACTCAGTTTTCAATTGTGCAGTCACCAATCTGGACTCTTATTCTCACCCTTAATTTAACGGTGGTTCATAAGCTTTATGCCTTCATTATATCTGTATAAAATTGCACATCTCCTTTAAATTTCAATATCGGTAGATTTATACTTCTTCTCCATGCTTCCAGCATTCTGTCATACACATTATCTGGTTTAACAGTTGGGCTAGGAGGAACATATATTTGGGTCTCAGCACTTTCCACCCCTACTTGGTATGCCATACAGATGTGGGGCTTTTCAATGTTTAAATCTGACTAAGGACATTTTTCCCTATTTTTATATATCCGTGGATTACTGCCTATTCACTACACCATTGTCTAGGTATTTATAATTTGAGTGGTTGAAATTGTAATAATGCTTTTTACGCAATAGAATGTTTGAATGTTGCATCTATTATGTACAGTATATGCAAATATACATTATATCTGTTACCATGGTGTAATGTTAGTACACTGGATTTCCAATCCATAGGTTACTGGTTCGAAAAAATTATGTATTAAATCATCTGCCCTCTGCCCATAGTGGATTGGTCAGTGACATGTGGTGAAGGTACCCCCATCTCTTCCAAGACATGTAGCCAACGTGGAAGAGTAAACTAAATAACGTATACTGTACTTTTAGATGAGTTACCTACAGCTCACTCCAGTGAAGACCTCTCCCTCAGCAGTGGTAAGAGTGTAATAAACGACTGCCACGGCGATCGTGACTGGCATCTTTTATTGGTAGAATTCCTGCACAGCTCACTCCTGCTCTCCCCGAATAATTCCCTTCTCTCCACTGACGGGGACGAGCCGTTCTCTCTGTTCCACCATTGAAGTTCGTCTCTCTGTCACTCCCCGATCCCGCCGCTGGCTGATGGCGTGCCGGGAGGAGAGGCGGCTTCGCTGGGGATCCGCCGACCCCTGAGTCCTCCCCTGCCTCTGCTTATATTCCTCTCGGCGGAACTAAGCTCCGTTTCTAGCCATGCCCCCTCGTGGAACCTTCCTGATGGTTCCCGCACGTTCCCCTTGACTCCGCCCATTTCCCTTGGCCCAGAATTGGATACCCGTTTCCCAGTAATGGCCGTGCAGTTACCACTTGCCGCCCAATAGATGGCGCTTTCTCATTACACCCCCCCCCCCACCCCTCCTAATGAAAAGACTAGCCGTCCCAGCTAGGTCAATATACTTATGAGTAATGGAGAGACGTGGTAAAGGAACCCAGCGTTAAGCAACAGAAGGCCATGCCTAACAGGGATGAAGGCGATAACATCAATAATTAAATTTGAGAGTAAAAGAAGTAAGACAAATCCCATAACGCAGGCAGAGGCATAACTTGCGGCAATGTCAACAAAACCGAGGCGTTTTGGAATGATTCCGCGACGCCTGACCATCCGCGGTAGCCGTATCCCGGTCTGCGTTGGCCGGCGCGTCGGGAGGCAGGACCGCCGACGGAGGAGTAGAAGGGTCCGTCGCAGTAGGGCTGGTCCGGGCGGGGTCACCGCCCGCAACGGTGGTCAAGGGTTCGGATGCTGTGGGCGGCAAAACAGAGTCCATCGGGGGATCACCCTGAAACTGCACCGGCCCCGGTTCGTCGGACACGTCAGACCCCGGCAGACCAATTACTGGAGATGAAGAAATGACACGCGGGGGAAATGAACGGTTTCAACCGAGATATGTACACATTGCGGACGTCTAATCTCAACCACCTCAACAGGACCGTGCCACGGCTTATGTAGTATTGGAGAGGTGCCAATGGGCACCTGAGGGCAATGTAGCCAAGCCCTGTCGCCAACGGACCATGGCATGTACCGTCCGGACCTGCGTGCACAGTGCTCATTGCGCACCTGTGTTTTTCCAGTATTAATTCTAGCCGCCTCCCAAACCTCAGAAATCCGGCGTTGGGAGTCCCGAACATGGTCCGGCAGGGTAGATTTCGTGCAGCCAACAGGCGCCCCCAATTGAGCATCTATAGGTGGCACATTTTCCCTCCCATATATAAGAACAAGTATAACCCGTAAAAACAAAGTTTGTCACTATAAATCCTTTATAAGCGTGGCGGCTAGAGTCCTCTCGTCCTCTGGCTTGAGATGGCTGCCACCTATGGGTCAGATGAATGCATGCCACCATTAAGCAATTGGTAATTAAATATAATATTTTTGTCCTAAAAAGTAGAAAATTTTGGGAAAAAAATTTGACGAACATTAATTGTCACGCACAACGAGTCTGTGTGGAAAATGGCAGCTCGATTGGATCACGGGAAGTGGGTTAAACAACGACCGAAAGATTTGCACGGTCGTAAGAAAGCAAGCAAGCAAGCGCGCAAGTGAACTTAATATAAAGGATTTAAAAAATGGCGAAAATCCCGTGGAAGCATGCGGGGCCATCCTGTATGCGGCAAGCACACTCGAAACATGCATATCCCAATCGGCCTGTTTAGCATCCACAGTCTGACAAAGCAAGGTGGTCAAGGTTCAATTTAGCCGTTCGACCATGCCATCGGTCTGAGGGTGGTACAGCGACGTCCTGATTTTCTTGGTGCCCAGTGCGTCGCAAACTTCGCGTAACAATTTAGCAGAAAAATTCCGACCTTGGTCTGTAAGCAGTTGTTCCGGAGCACCTTTGTCGATAGCATAACCATTCAAAAACGCATCAGCAATGGAGGTCGTCGAGTGGTCAGGCAGTGGCCAAGCCATTGGCCACCAAGAAAAATATTCCACTCCCACCAAAATATATGTATTTCCCCTAGGAGTGATCTCGAGGCAACGAGATAGCATGGATGAGTGGCTGCTCAACTTTCAGGGGGTACTGGAGAGCCACATGATCAGTGCCGACAATGAACATTGAACATTGTCGGCACTGATCATGTGCCGACATGGCTGCCATAAGCGACCACCTTTTCGACACCATTTTTAATTTGCGATAAGACAGCATTGATGCCCGTATCGCCAGCATCATTGTCAAGGGTAAACGGCAAGGAAAAATCCGGATATTCAAGCGTGGGCGCATCCGACAATCATTTGCGGAGAGCCACGAATGCAGCCTCCTCCCTCCTCCTCCGGACCCCATCTGAACCTCTGATTTTTAGCAGTTAACGCATGCAAGGGTTTAGCGACAGTAGCAAAATTTGTCACAAACTGACGGTAATATGAAGCGAATCTGACGAAACTGCGCACATCACCCATGCACATGGGGGTTGGCCAGTCACGAACACATGCAGTTTTCGCCAGGTTCGTGGCGATGCCGTCGTAATTGACAAGATGGCTCAGATAACGCACCGAATTTAGCAGAGCGCATCCTATAAAAAACGGAGCGCAAAGTACGACTAAAAACAATGACATCATCTAAATAAATGAGGCAAGTGTCCCACTGCAACCCAGCCAAGACGAGCTCCATTAAGCATCGAAAGGTAGCCGGAACCGAATTGAAGCCCATCAAAAGGCAATTGAACTGAAAAAGTCCATGAGGCATACGGAAAGTGGTATTCGGTTTTGATGAGTCATCCAAAGGTAATTGCCAGAACCCAGAGGACAATCAAAATAAATAATACAAATAATAAAAGTAATAATAGAAATAAAATAATAAATCACGATGTTTCGGAGGCAACACAAGTCTCCGTCATCAGGTGGGACCGTCACAGCTAAATTTACTCAGTTTGTACCCATCATCACGGTTGAAGTTATGTCTGTGTTTGTATATCTGGATGGCTTCGTGTACAAACCTTTGATGGTAGCCAGAAGGTTTGCAGAGTACCTTGGTGTCAGAAAAGACAATATCATGAGAGCCCACAGCGTTGTAGCAATGATCGGCAACGGCGGAAGACTCAATTTTGCCGTGTTTCAGATCTCACTTGTGCTCGCGGACACGATCGGAGACATGACGTTTCGTTTCCCCAATGTAACAATCACCACAGCTGCAACTCAATTTATAGACTCCAGGGTATTGCAAGTCAGGAATGACATCTTTAACAGATGGGATTAAATCACGGATTTTATGTACTGTACTGAATCGGACTTGGATCTTATACTTGTTTAGAATTTTGGAGATTTTTTGGTCACGCCTGCTATGTTTGGCAACGTGATGGTTTTGATCGGAGTTTCAAGTGGCTGTTTCTGTATGGTGGGAGAAACAGCTTGGCGGATGGTGCGGTCAGAGTATCCGTTCATCTTTAGGGCCCGATGTACATGTTGGTCAGATATGCCATGAGCTCTGTGGTATAGTGTTTTGATGAGAGAATTATTTTGAGCTGGGTGGTGGTGGGAAACAGGTTTCAAGTAGGAATTTGTGTGGGTGGTTTTTCTGTAGACAGAATTACCCAAGGATCCATCAAGTCTCTTCTCAAACAGAACATCTAAGAATGGTAGTTTGCCATCTTTCTCTACTTCCATGGTGAATCTGATGAATGTGTGTCGAACTCGTGATGATCTTGTTGGTAGAGCTGAAATAGCCACTATTCTTAAGAATGCTAAGAAACCCACCAGCAACTTGCGAACCTAAAAAAGAGAGATGATATAGTCATCCTCTCGGCAGACAAGGGCAATGCCACGGTCATCATGGATAAAGAATCATACAACAACAAAATCCTGGACCTACTCAATGATGGGAGTTAC